TCAGTTTTCATCATGTCAATGAATCTGATGTAGAGCTCCAAGTAGTTCATATAATCAATCTCGTATATGGAGAATCGGAGGAACTCTTCTATAAACTCTTCCATAGCCTCCAATGAGAAAGAGGCGTTGAAGGGCTCATAGTGAAAGCGGGAAGGTTCATTGGTGTTCATGTACATTGATGAGCTCGGGACCAGTACAGTCACCTGGTGTCCTCTGTCAACCAGCGTCTCCAGAACAGGCTTCATGTTTATCCAGTGGCTGCCTTCAGTGTACCACACCAAAATGTTCCCTCCGTTTGCACTCCATGTCGCACAAAGTACCATCAGGATGCAGGCAGAGAGACGCAGCTCCATGGTGTATGAGTGTCAGCAGGAAAACCAGCTGTGGTCTGATCCTTTGTAGAAGTATCACAGGAAAGATAAATATTAACTCAAAGTTAAACTTTGACTAACTTCCTTCTGTACAGTATTGCTCATTTCACAATGGGTTAAAGGTTAATGGGAATAAAGTTGACAGTACTGAAAAAAGCAGGACTGAACCGGTATGAGAAATCCACTAAGAAATTAGTAAAAATGTCAGAGCTCGACGTTGTTGTTAGTCGGGTAGAGACGGAGTGAAGTAATGCAAAACAATGGTCATTTCAACTGTATAGGCTTGGACACTGTTGCATAATCTGAGGAAGTTGTGGGTGCCTGTGCAACTGTTTCCATGCATGCCACTGAAACACAAAGGAGTCAGGATTGTTAGGATTCAAACAAGCTGTAACCCCATTGATGATTTGACTCTGCCAGTGTTGAGGTTCAAGGTTAAGCCAATATTTAAAAGATGATGGAGAGTTATCATTCAAGACATATCTGGTAAAATAAAGGAATTGATAAAAAGTTTTTTTTACAGTCTGTGTGATGATCTCTCCAGATTTTTTTTGAGGAGGATGTGAAGGATGAAGTTGAAGTGCCCTGAGGCAACTGCTGTTGTGATTTGGCACTATTTAAATAAAACTGAATTCAACTGAACTCACTTTAATAAGAGAGGTCCAAAAGATCCTGTTGAGTTTCATGAGTCCTGACTCCATTCTAACTGGATACAGCCTTAAAACAAACTTGTGTTTAATCAAATTTACCTTTCAGCTTTTTTTTTTATATTTATTAATACACAGCCATTTTCACATCTGTCAGTTACATTCCTCACTAAACTTTGATACACAA